TTTTTTTTTTTTTTTTTTATGTTTTATAATTGCCACAATTTAACATTTTTTCTCTTCTATTTTTTTGTCCTCCTGTACTAAATACAGAGAATAAGTGACAGCTTTCATAGAAGACAATACCCAAGGGATTTGTACTTTTATAGAACGATCTGAATTCACAAAAACTTTGGCCTGAAAGTGTACAGGTGAAACACTGGTTAATCTTACATCAGCATTCATTTCTTCCAGCTCCCTCAGGATGTTGGGTAGCCGGTAGTTCCAGAACAGGTAAGGCCGCCGGCAGTGGCTGTACAGGTGGGAGTTGTCCTCCAGCAGGTCTTGGGAGAGAATATTATAGGATACCACAGAGAAATCAAACTTTCCTCTTCTTTTGGATGGCTCGCAGTACAGGTGACGGAAGTCCTCCCACTTCCTTTTTACTGTAGTTTCTCCTGAAGAGAACAAATAAAATGTTACAATAATGCGTGGCATAAGAAATGGAGTGGACAAGGTAACGTACGGTAGTCTATAGCCAACAACTAGTTCCCTTTACTGATCTGTGTACAGTAAACTAAAATCTGATTAGTAGCTGTGGCTCGTTGTACTTTGCTATTGCTAACACTATTGCTCCATTAGCTTTCTTATTGAGCAAGCCCATTAGGAACGGATGGACATGACTTAAAATAAACGGTCCACCCAGAGGTGACATTTTAGTCATAGGTGAAGCATGGTGGGCTGCATTAGCTCCTAGTTTGTTATATGTCAATGTCATAATTCCCAAATGTTTCTGCCCACCTGGGAGGACTGGTTGTTCTGGCCCAACGTTGTGTTTTCCAGTTCCTCCGGTTGTATTCTCCATACTAAAAAGGTAAATGAAAAGCAGGGAGGACTGGAGTCGCTCATAATGGCCACAACAGGCCCAGGAACTCACCAACAGAGTTCTCAAGACATAGAAGAAACTGTCCGCTGATTTAACTTTACCCAGCATCTACTAAAATTGAATATTTTTGGGTGGACTGTCCTTTTAAACTGAAATTCCATTTAAAGAATAGGAATCACAAGATGCCACCTACTACCTTTACTAACTAGAAACACCTCCCTTATGTGGTGCTTTGCCCTTGAATGTACACTGTTACCAAGGGCAAGACTTCTTGGAATTTGGAGCTAAATCCTAAAGACACAACTACCTATAATCCCACTACCCAATAAAAGGACCCTGAATTGGAATAAGGTGCTCCCAGTGGACACCTAACACATTTCTAACCTGATAGCTAATGTTTCCTACATGATAAGCTGAAGATATCTCTATAGGTGGCCCTGGTACCACTGTTCTGCTGGAAAAAACTATCCACCCCCAATCTACTGCTAGTTGGGAAGAAGCCATCCACCCCCAATCTACTGCTAGTTGGGAAGAAGCCATCCACCCCCAATCTACTGCTAGTTGGGAAGAAGCCATCCACCCCCAATCTACTGCTAGTTGGGAAGAAGCCATCCACCCCCAATCTACTGCTAGTTGGGAAGAAGCCATCCACCCCCAATCTACTGCTAGTTGGGAAGAAGCCATCCACCCCCAATCTACTGCTAGTTGGGAAGAAGCCATCCACCCCCAATCTACTGCTAGTTGGGAAGAAGCCATCCACCCCCAATCTACTGCTAGTTGGGAAGAAGCCACGCACCCCCAATCTACTGCTAGTTGAGATGAAGCCACGCACCCCCAATCTACTGCTAGTTGAGATGAAGCCATCCACCCCAATCTACTGCTAGTTGGGATGAAGCCATCCACCCCAATCTACTGCTAGTTGGGATGAAGCCATCCACCCCAATCTACTGCTAGTTGGGATGAAGCCATCCACCCCAATCTACTGCTAGTTGGGATGAAGCCATCCACCCCAATCTACTGCTAGATGTGAAGAGGCAATTCACCCCGATCTACTGCTAGTTGGGAAGAGGCCATCCACCTCGATCTACTGCTATTTGGGAAGAGGCCATCCACCCCAATCTACTGCTAGTTGGTAAGAGGCCATCCACCCCGATCTACTGCTAGTTGGGAAGAGGCCCTCCACCCCGATCTACTGCTAGTTGGGAAGAGGCCATCCACCCCGATCTACTGCTAGTTGGGAAGAGGCCATCCACCCCGATCTACTGCTAGTTGGGAAGAGGCCATCCACCCCGATCTACTGCTAGTTGGGAAGAGGCCATCCACCCCGATCTACTGCTAGTTGGGAAGAGGCCATCCACCCCGATCTACTGCTAGTTGGGAAGAAGCCATCTACCCCAATCTACTGCTAGTTGGGAAGAGGCAATCCATCCTGATCTACTGCTAGTTGGGAAGAAGCCATCCACCCCAATCTACTGCTAGTTGGGAAGAGGCAATCCATCCTGATCTACTGCTAGTTGGGAAGAGGCCATCCACCTCGATCTACTGCTAGTTGGGATGAAGCCATCCACCCCAATCTACTGCTAGTTGGGATGAAGCCATCCACCCCAATCTACTGCTAGATGTGAAGAGGCAATTCACCCCGATCTACTGCTAGTTGGGAAGAGGCCCTCCACCTCGATCTACTGCTAGTTGGGAAGAGGCCATCCACCCCGATCTACTGCTAGTTGGGAAGAGGCCATCCACCCCGATCTACTGCTAATTGGGAAGAGGCAATGGGAAGAGGCAATCCATCCTGATCTACTGCTGGTTGGGATGAAGCCATTCACCCCGATCTACTGCTAGTTGGGAAGAGGCCATCCACCCCAATCTACTGCTAGTTGGGAGGAGGCCATCCACCCCGATCTACTGCTAGTTGGGAAGAGGCAATGGGAAGAGGCAATCTATCCTGATCTACTGCTGGTTGAGATGAAGCCATCTACCTCAACCGACTGCTAGTTGGGAAGAAGCTATCTTGGGAAGGTTCAATCAATTTAAAGTAACACTAAATTCAGGAGTTAAATCTTAAAAATGCATGTACCTGAACTATTAACATAAATGTATCTTATTTGTGTATGAAGAAAATAGGTCACCAGCACTCCATAAGTTAAAATGAATGAGTCCTTTTAATGGACAATGATGTCACAGAAATCCAACATGAGCCGACGTTTCGGGGCCACACAGGGTCCCTTCTTCAAGGCAAGAGATGTGACAATGTAATAACATCCACAAGCTACATATATACCCCATGTAATCAAATCATTAGTGATGTACACGCCCCCAGTGATGTAAAAACGGCGGGAAAAAAGGCCATTTTGAAAAAAAGAACAGAAAAAACTCTATATGATATAATCTCATTTAACGTCATCATATATAAAACATCATATATATAACATCCAAACTACTTACTGGACGGTCCCCGCAATCTGATGCTCAAGATCAATGCCATGGCTGTGTGTCATCCGCCGTAGAGTTAGTCAGTACGTGGCAGGGATATATCTGATGGCTGTTCGTTACTCCATAGTATGTGGCGCGTCGCTTGGTATCGGCGTATTCAATACGCGTCATCAGTAACCATAGCGATCGGGAGATACAACTCTCCTCTATACTATATTGCGCATGTGCCAAACTATCCGCAAGGTTCAGTACGGGTGAAGCCAGTATACAACAGGTATACCGGTGTCACTGTCAGAAAAACAAAGCATAGAGCATCAGATCGGGGGGAGAAACAGAGTAATTGAGATAAAACATATAAATAAGATATAATGAGATATAATAAGGCTATTAATTATCACCAATAAACATAATAACGGACGGACATAAAACCGTCCGTTTTTTTTTGTTTTTGTCTGTATTACTGTTTTATGTCCGTCCGTTATTATGTTTATTGGTGATAATTAATAGCCAGGACCAATTCAGAGATGATTTGAGGATCTGCAGCTGAGTGATACATTTCTGTTAATAGTTACTTGAATGCATTTTTAAGATTTATTTCCTAAATTCAGTGTCACTTTAGAAGACTGTTCCACCGTACACAGATGGGTTGTCACCAGCCTTACCTTTGACCTCTGGTTGGGAAATGGCCGAAAATCCTGATGAATCCTGTGCTGCAGGAAGACTGAAGTCATTAGCTGGTGGATAGGATCGCTTTGACAACATTTTCCTCCCATGGTCCTCACCCTCCGCACTCTTTCGCTTTCTATACGGTTCATCCCCTGTAGAGCTCATATCACAGTGTGAAATGTGAAACCACGATGAATGACCAGGGGCCCAAGGAAAACAAGGGGGGCCGAGCAACAGAGGAGTCTGGGGGCAAGGGTAAGATCTGAAGTATTCCTGAGGATGCCAAGTGCTGACAGGATGAAAATGAGTCTGAGGATAATGTGCAGTCCACCATGGGCATCTAGGAAAGTCTCTATTTACATAAGAGAACTGTGAGTGCCCAGCACGGGCAAAACACCTGCTGCCAACGCTCTGTAGATGCCGTGGTAACATCGGAGTCCCTGAGGAAGAAACCATTGTTAAATAGTCAATAAAACACAGGAATGTACACACTGCATTCTGCATTCAGAATTTATAGATCTCATAGAATGGTCAGTGCTATCGCTTTGCTAAGCTTTTGCCCCGAGTTCAAGTTCTCCCAGGAATGCTACATGTGCAATTTAACGTGTGCTAAAAACACTTGTACACGTTGCATGGTCTCGGTGGGCGCATTTAAAGGAGAACTATGAGGTGAGTGAAAAATCACTCATCCTCATAGTTCGAGCCTGTCACACGTCGGCTCAATAGATCATCTCCCTGCAGAGAGCTGTGACTGTCAGTCACAGCTCCCTGCAGGGATCCCCTCCCCGATCCTTCAGCGCTGACTGGAGGAATAGACGGGCACAGCTGGCTCTGCCTCTAGATAGGCAGAGTCAGCTGTCATTCACGCAGCTGGGTGGATTTCAACAGCATTGTGGGTATCCGTCCCGGCTGCGGCAGTCTCAGTATACCGCAAGCTATATACTGAGCTTTGGGTCATGGGAGGAGGCTAGTTTATGTCCTCCTGTGACCCTTAAGAGAACTACGGGGAAAAACACTTACCCCGTAGTTCTCTTTTAAAGGGAATTTCTCACTTGCCCACTTGGGGAGAGGGAAGCCGTTTACCAAGAGATATCTGCCCACTCGCGTTCTTTCCTTTTCACTCATCCTTATTCAATCTTTTGTTCGTACTCTGTGTTCCAGAGAAGTACAAACAGTACAGTACATATGATTAAACTGAGAGTGTATGCAGCGACCAGGCACAGAAGAATTTGATGGCTCTGCAGCTTTGTGGGCGAGAGCTTGCTGGATTAGAGTCAGGTGAGCATGACACTTGTAGGAGTGCAAAGGGCAGGCCAAGGTGCAGTTACACTCTAAAGCTGAACTCCAGCTATAGAAACGTGGTCCAGCTTGGTACAATGCAAGCATATACAAATGTATCCCTGGTAGGGCCACAGGGATCCTGTAAAACACTGTAGTAGCTGCAACAATGCTTTACAGCGATCTTCCGGATCCTCGAACAGCCTCTGTGCTGAGCGACTTCCACTCCGCTGCGAAAGCAAAGGGTCACTCACTCGGCACAGCGGCCATTCAGCAAACGCCTAATATCCTAAAGTGACACTAAATTTAGGAGATAAAGGAGAACTATGGGGTCAGGGCTTTCCCCCATATATCTCCTAAGGGTAACGGGAGGACACAAACTAGCGCCCTCCCGTCACCCAAAGCTCAGTATACCGCAAGCTACAGCTCGTGGTATACAGAGACGCCGGGATGGATCCACCCAGCTGCGTGAGTGACAGCTGGCTCTGCCTATCTAGAGGCAGAGCCAGCTGTACCCACCCCCTCCGTTCCGCCATTCAGCACTGGAGGATCGGAGAGGGGAATCCCTGCAGGGAGCCGTGAGTGACAGTCACTGCTCTCTGCAGGGACAGGATTGAGAAGTGAGCGAGTGACGGTATGTGTTGGCTCACTTCCCGATCTATTGAGCCGACCTGTGACAGTGTCATTGTCACAGGTCGGCTCGAACTATGAGGCTAAGTGAAAATCACTTACCTCATAATTCTCCTTTAAAAGGAGAACTATGAGGTGAGTGCTTTTCACTCACCTCATAGTTCTAGCCGACCTGTGACAATGACACTGTCACAGGTCGGCTCAGTGGATCGCGAGGTGAGCCAACACATACCGGGTTCGCTCACCTCTCGATCCTGTCACGGCTCTCTGCCGTGACAGGGGGAGGGGCTGGATTCCCCTCTCCCCGCTCCGATCTGCCAGCGCTGACTGGCGGAACGGACGGGGGAGGGGGCGGGTACAGCTGGCTCTGCCTCTGCAGATCCTTAAATCATCTCTGAATTGGTGCTGACACTGTCCTTCCTTCTGGACCATTTTTTGTTCCCCATGGTTCCTGCGTGTGTTTTAAAGTAGCCACCGCTCCAAGCTTGCTCCAGCGATGGACTACAATCTCAGTACAAATTAGTCAACTAAACGTGAGATTGTAGTCCATCACAGAAGTGAGCTTGGAGCGGTGGCTACATTACAACACACACATGGACCATGGGGAACAAAAGTAGTCACCCTCCAGAAGGAAGGACAGTGTCAGCACCAATTTAGAGATGATTTGAGGATCTAGAGCCGAGTGATACACAAATGAGATATATTTCTGTTAATAGTTAGGGTACTTGAATGTATTTTTTAAGATTTAAACCCCAAGTATAGTGCCACTTTAATGCATTAAAAAATAGGCATTCTCTGATTGGACGATAAGCGGTAATGTCAGGCCATTGTTGGAACCTGGGCCTGGTGAATGGCAGCCCTACATCCTGGAAGGAGGTCACATGCTCCCCCATAATCTGAAGTACCAGACATGTACTAAGGCAGGGGTGGGAAACTCCAGCCCTCCAGCTGTTGTGGAACTACAAGTCCCCATGAGGCATTGCAAGACTGACAGTCACAGGCATGACACCCAGACGCATGTTGGGATTTGTAGTGAACGCACAGCTGGAGAAGTCAGAGAGACACAGCACCAGAGAGCATGTCATCAAGAACATCCATGTGAATAAATAATTCTCATAAACTGTCCAAAACTTTGTCACTCAGTGGGAGGGGCCTATCACCAAGGATACACATGACCTGCAGGCCCCTCACTATGTTCATCTGCCATCAACAGGAACCAGATGGAACCTTTTACTCCTATTCAGTTCCCGCTGAAGCTCCCTGTCCTGTCTCCCTTCTACCTGGACAGGTGACCCCCTGGTACTGGGGGGGAGGAAAGGGTGACCCCAGGCTTCACTCACCTGACTGTCAGTGCTCCGGCTGCTGCTGTGCTGGAGAGAACAGAGGCAGAAGCCAGCCTCCATGACAGCGCAGAGCATGCTGGGAGCTGAGTGTAACAGAGCTCGTCATTGGTCAGCTTTCTCCGGTTTCTGATTGACTGCACGGCCGTGCTGTATACATTGTATTAGCCGGGTACGACCGGAAGCTGCACAGTGCACACAGATTGTGATACGAGTCTGTCTGCATGTGTACTGTAGGGTCCTGATTCCAGGGACAGTCCTGGGTAGGAAGAGGCATAGAAATGTCCCTGGTGGGCAGTACTAAGCTAGTACACCATATCTTCCTGAATATTACAGAGGAACTTTACCAAACTACATTCTAAAACTAAATGTCAAATCCCTAATAAAGGCCCCTTTATGAAAAAAACGACAACTCACTAGTCCATGAAGACCAGCATTGCCTTCCATGCAAGTTGTCGTCCTTAGACAGTTCTGCTTCTGTGCCACCATCTTGAAACCAGATCCTGCGCAAGTGCAGACATGCCACTGGTATCTGCCAGGTCATATAGATCTGGAAGAGACGTGCAAAGTGTCTGAGCAAGCCCAAGATCCCCCACCCATGAGCAGAGCTATGGCCAGGTCTATGGAACCTGGCAGAGGCACATGGCATATATGCACGTGATCCCGCAAACTGCTATGTGTCATCCACCTTACTAACCATTCAGTGTCTATCACCCCTCTCTGTCAGTCTCCGCTGGCTCCCACTTTCCCAATGCGTAAAATTAAAAATACTAACAATAGCATACAAAGCCATCTACATCCTCTCCTACTCTACTCCTCTCAAGACCTCCTGCTCTCTCCCTGCTCCTCTCAAGGCCTCCTGCCCTCTCTCTGCTACTTTCAAGGCCTCCTGCCCACTCCCTGCTCCTCTCAAGATCTCGTGCTCTCTCCCTGATCCTCTCAAGACCTCCTGCCCTCTCCCAGCTCCTCTCAAGGCCTCCTGCCCTCTCAAGGCCTCCTCTCTCCCAGCTCCTCTCAAGGCCTCCTGCCCTCTCCTTGCTCCCTTCAAGGCCTCCTGCTCTCTCCCTGATCCTCTCAAGGCCTCCTTCTCTCTCCCTGCTCCTCTCAAGGCCTCCTGCTTTCTCCCTGCTCCTCTCAAGGCCTCCTGCTCTGTAGTTCTCTCATCACCTCCTCCCATGCTCACCTCCAGCACATCTTCAGAGTCTCTCCCATCTTCTTGAACTCCCTACCCCCCATCCATCTGCTTATCTCCTACTCTGTCCACCTTTAGGCGATCCTTGAAAACTCATCTCTTCAGGGAAGCCAATCCCACCTTGACATAATAACTGTCCTTTTACTTCTTCCATCATCTCATCCCTCACAATCCCTTTTGTCATGAATATAAAATTAAAGTATATATAATTCAAACACGGGTATCAGGAGAGCTGTCAGCATAGTCAGTACTTTACCTTGCACCAGTAATGTGCCAGGACTTGAACCCTTGTGCCTATTTACAGATCCCCCTTGCAGGCTGTACAGTAAGGAGAATTTGTGTAACTTTCAATGTGGTGTATATATATTGCCCTCAGCGCTTCAGTTCCTCCTGGCTAGTAAAGATGTGCGCAGACCTGGTACAAACCCAGTTCGATGGACTTCGGCCAAGCCCACGCAAAAACTGTGACTGACACACTCCCCTCCAGACCCAATCATTTGTGGCCAGGCCATTCCTCACCCCTTTGTGACATGTAGCTGCGGGGAGGAGAATGTCCCTGCCACAACTGATTGAACCGGGGTGGGGGGTCCGTGACAGTTTTGCGCAGACTTGGGAGACAACTGAGGAGGAAAGAGGTACAGAGGGATTTGGTTTAATCCCTGCAATGAAAGCCAGTTGGTAGGTATGCACTTGCTCTAAAGCTCCCCACAACACACATACAGTATATAAATGTGAAAAATATTGTGCGTTGAGGTTCCACTCAAAGTGAAACTCACTACATTACGAAGCAAAAGTCAACATGTGATACAAGCATTACAATCATCACCGGGATCACATGTACATGATACCTTTGTGTAATAATACATTTAAATAATATGTAGCTTTGCCTCTTCTATAATTATTATTCGTCGTGCCCTCTCTAGTAATGATCTTCTGTTGATACTATTTCTCAGAGAATTCCTGGCTAGGAAGGAGAAAATCATTAGCCATCCAGCTGAGTATGCTGTTTATGTCTAATGGGAGATACGAAAAACCTGGAGAGTTTGGGGATTATTCAAGAAAATGGTGCAATTGTGAAGCTGTTGTTGATAGAACCTACTACTTTTACAGCAAGGGCCATTTTTTTTTTAACTTTGGTCTACCTCTGGGCATTTATGGATTCAGGTTAGATGAGTAGCAAGACACTTTCCAGTTTGGGCAGCATTCAGACATCTCCGCTTTCTCTTGTTTGTGGTCTGCAAAGCTGATTTCTATTTTATGTCCGGGTGTAAAGCAAAGTATGCTGCTGCCTGAAATTATATATATA